CTTTCTTCCTTTCTTCCCTCCTTTCTTTCTTCCCCCCTTTCTTTCTTCCCTCCTTTCTTTCTTCCTTTCTTTCTTTCTTCCTTCCCTCCTTTCTTTCTTCCCTCCTTTCTTTCTTCCCTCCTTTCTTTCTTCCTTCCTTTCTTTTTTCCTTTCTTTCTTTCTTCCCTCCTTCCTTCCTTCCTTCCTTCCTTCCTTCCTTCCTTCCTTCCTTCCTTCCTTCCTTCCTTCCTTCCTTCCTTTCTTTCAAGCTGGGATCTCACTTTATTGCCCAGGCTAGAGTGCAGTGGCATGATCACAGCTCACTGCATCCTTAAATTCCTGTGCTCAGGTGATCCTTCCATCTCAGTCTCCTAAGTAGCTGAGACTACAGGTGTACCACCATGACTGGAAAATTTTTTGAATTTTTTTTTGTAGAGATAAGGTCTTGCTATTTTGCCCAGGTTGGTCTTGAACTCTTGGGCTCAAGTGATCCTCCTGCCTTGACCTCCCAAAGTTCTGGGATTGCAGGTGTGAGCCACCATACCAGGTGCAATTATTTTCTTTTTAACCCTTACTACCAGGTTAACATGTCCTCCCTCCCTGGCTCACTGTACTATATCCTCTAGGTCCTAAAGATTCTGCCTGCCTTGGGGGCAGGAATACAGCAAAAGGCAGGAAGTAAAAATGACTAAAAAAATGAAAGGGATTCATCTTCAGGGTTTCAGGCATAATTTGGCTCCTCTTTGAAAAACTAATTCTCCTGGGCTCAAATGACCCTCCTGCCTCAGCCTCCCAAGTAGCTGAGATTACAGGCAAGCGCCTCCACATTCAGCAAATTTTTTCATGTTTTATTTTTTGTAGAGATGAGATCTTGCTATGTTGCCCAGGCTGATCTTGAATTCCTGGGCTCAAGTAATCTTCCTGCCTCGGCCTCCCAAACTGCTGGGATTATAGGTGTGAGCCACTGCCCATGGCCTTTTTTACTCAATTTTCTATAGCAGTGGCATCCGACAGAACTTTCTGTGATGTTGGAAATATATCTATGGAACATTTGAAGTTGGGCTAGTGCAACTGAATTTTAAGTGTTATTTAATTGTATTAAATGTGTATCTATGTGTGTAAATAGCCACATGTAGCTAGTGGTCACTGTGTTGGACCGTGCCGCTTTTTAGGATGTGGTGATGGGCCAACAGAAGATGTTTAATAATCCTAGGTGAAAGTATCATCACCACAAACTAGGGGAGTGCCGTGAAGGGTAAGTACACGAACCTCCGAGAGCCTGTGATGTGGAACCTGATCTTTCTAGAGGTCCAAGAAAGTTTCCCTAAGTCAAGGACATTGAGCTGAGATCTGAAGATGAGAAACTAGGCCAAGAGACAGACAAGGATGTTCTAGTCAGAAGAACCATGAGGTGGACAGTGGATTGGAAGTGGAGAAGACTAGAACCCGAGTGCTAATCTCTACGTGTGACCAGCAAGGCAATATTTCCATTTTAGACTCGTGGAGTGTGACGTAGGTGTTGGGATTCCACATGAACTCACAAAATATAGATTGGGATGAAGAATAAGAAGAGTGGCAGAATACAGAGGCTTGCATCCGTTTTGCTCATACTGTGCTTCCAACACCCAGAATCATGCATGACACACAGTGAGTTCTTAAGAATGCATCGCATCGCCACTGTGGTTCGTTCTCCGGAGTTCAAGCTCTGTAGTTGTCTTTACTTCCAGAAAGACAGGGAAGAGGACAGTGAAATTCACACTCATCATTATTGCTGCCTGTTCGTAGGTTTGGATTTGGTGTCCTAGGAAAGGGGGATGCCATTGTTTTACAGCCTTTAGATTCTGGCCTTCAACTCCTGGGAACTAACCACACTGGATATTGTGTGATGTCTCATAGCACGACCACCTCCCCTGGACCTGCGAAACCTCTCGACCATCCGGGAACACACGTCTCTAGCCAGGACCCGCACCGTGCCTTGGTAAGTTTCTGATCGCTCCAAGGAGCCACATCCAGCACAGACACCCCCACTTGATCTAGCTTAAGCCAAAGGAGGGGTGAGTTTTATTATCAAGAGTCAGAGGTGTTTTATAGATCACAAAAGAAGGAATATGACTGGGTCGCCCAGGATATCGGGACCAGGAATTAGAGTGTGTGGGGAATCTTTTCTCTACATCTGCTTCTTTCTTCACCGCTGTCTAGTCCTTTGTCTTTGCAGAACCCTTTCTCTGCTGCACAATCCTCATGGTCAAAGATAGCTGTATTATAGCTCCTGAACTTGTTTGCATGTTACAATTTCAGTACAAACAGAGATGGGCTCTTTTGTGATCTCAATGCAGATTTCCTGGGAAGAGACAGTTGTGTCACCCAGCCTGAGTGCAATCAGCTATGGCCCAGAGGGCCAACTTTGTGAACAGGGTAGAAAAGAGGTCTCGGGGAAGAAGGGATGGCTCATGGGTTGGGTAGACTAGAACATGTTTCTGCACCTCCTCATCTCACCTTTTAGAAGCTGCATCTTCAGAGTCTGAGCCTGACTTAGGAGCTTCTTGATTCACTTGAAAGGCCACATGACACAGTCACTTTGTAAAGCAGGATTCTGCAGTGAGCTGTATTTCCAGCCAAGACTGCAAATGACTTGGCCTGTGTTTCTGACTCAGGAGTAGGATGAAAATTTATTTGTATTCTTTTACTTTCTTTTGCTAAATGATATGATGCCTTGGCCTGTTTCTAGAAAGCTCTTGAGCTGTGTCACATAGAGGGCCTGAAAAAACCAGCATTTGTGAATTGGAAGCCATTTGTCCCACAGTGGGACAGAAGCTGCTGGGCAATGTCTGCTACTTGAGGAACTGCTCTGACCGGAAGGAAGTTGTATCTGGAAGGAGGGTGGGGCTGAACCCCCATGGGGGTCATGTCAGTTCCTGGCTGGCTTTCAGAGCAGCTGTAAGACATTGCTTTGACCTCATCTATATTTTTGTTCTTAGCCATCGAACCAGCTTTCTCTCTCCAGAAAGAAATGGTATTAACTCTGCAAGATTTTTTGCCAATCCAGTCACCAGAGAAGAGGAGGAAAGCTACATCCAAATGGTAATCCTATATTTTTCACACTCTTCTTATTCTTCATTCCAATCTATATTCTTGTGAGTTGGTTATAAAGGAAATACATCCTTCAGAAAGCTCTGTGTAATCTTTGAACGATCACTGATTGTAAAACCAGGTCACAAGCTTTTCTAGACTGGGAACAAATCAGCTTGAAGCTGCTTTTCTTTCCTGCAGTATTCAACCCCCAATACCATTTTGAGACCACAGTATTTCAAGAGAACCTGGGACTGAGGCATGCATACTGGGAAAATGGAAGTGCCAGGTTCTCTTTGAACTATTACATTTTGAAAAGGAGTCTTAGGACAATGTTCAAGGCACTGTGACTATATACTTTTTAGAAGACAATTCTACCTGCTTATACGTGAGCATACTGGGCAATTGAAAAATCGAAAAATAGTAATCTCCAGCAAAGCAATACATAAAGACTTCATTTTGCCTTTTTTATTTTATTAAAATTGTGTCTTAAGTGCACTTAACTATATGCAGATGGAAAGTGACTCATCTACAAATCTTCTGTGATCTTCCCAATATTTCTCACACTTAGTAATGGCCCTTGGGAAACTTCTAGAAGAAAATACTCTTATAAAGGATGCTGAACAGCTGTGTTCTGTCTCCAGAGAACCAAAAAGGGAAGTGAATCTAAAACTCAATAGGAGCAAGTGCAGAGTCATTCCAGACACCAGCAGTTCATTTCTGATCTTTGAGGTTGTAAGAAAGAACAATGTTTCATCAACAACACAGCTAAGGATTGATTATTTGCCTATGTTTATAATCGCTAGTCAATGCCTGTCTCTGTGCATTACTAGGCAACATGGCACAGCAGATTAAGAGCCCAGAACTCTGGCTGAAAGTAGCTGTAGGGGAACTGCCATATTAACATGCTTTTTTTTTTTTTTGAGTTGGAGTCTCACTCTGTCGCCCAGACTGGAGTGCAGTGGCTGCTCCCGGCCACCGCAGCCTCGACCTGCTGGGCTACGGCCATCCTTCCGCCTCAGCCTTCTGAGTAGCCGGAATTACAGGCATGCGCTACCACGCCCGGCTGATTTTTTGATTTCTTGTAGAGATGAGGTCTCGCCAAGTTACCTGGGCGGGTCTCGAACCCGCGGGCTCAGGAAATCCACTCACCTCGGCCTGCCAAAGGCGCGGGATTACAGGCTGAGCCACCGAGCCCAGCTTATTAACATGTTTAAAGGCTACCCAATCTCATGTAATTGTGTTTTTAAATTTTAAATTAATTATTATTATCTTTTTAAATTGGAGTCTTACTACATCACCCAGGCTAGAGTGCAATGGCATTCTCACAGCTACTATAGCCTCAATCTGCTGGGCTCAGTCAATCCTTCTGCTTCAGCTTCCTGAATAGCTGGGACTACAGGCATGCACCACCACACCTGGATAATTTTTTTGGTTATTGTAGAGACAAGGTCTCGCTGAGTTGCCTAGGCTGGTCTTGAACTTCTGGACTCAGGCAGTCCTCTTGCCTCTGCCTCCCAAAGTGCTGGGATTATAGGTGTGAGCCACCGTGCCCAACTGAGTGTTTTTTAAACTTCAGCAATAAGATAGTTTCACATGACTTTGATATACATGATTTCACTTATGCCACACAACAGCTCTAAATGGTAGTCAAAACAAATATGATTTGATCTTAATTTTGCACACAATTATATATGTTACATTTCTTTTTCTCTTTAAGGGAAAATTCTGATCGGAATGTAACAACTAAGGCCAGGGGATGAGATATATTGAAATACAAGTTTTTCTGTACATCCTTCTTTAAATGTTTGTGAACTGATAGAAAATTTAGAAGAATACACATAATTTTAATTTATGTGATGTTTTTCTCTATCAATTTTTCAAACCCTTTAATTTCGACAGCTTTGTAAGGCTTTTGTAGTAAAATTCTAGACTCTTAAATCTCATATTATTCTTTATATTATGATATTTTAGTACCTTTAAATTTTTAGATCATACAGTGAAACTGACTTTCTGTTAATGTGCAGTTCTCTGAGTTTGAACATGTATGTTAATTTGTGGAACCACCACTGCAGTTAAGATACAAAATAGTTCCAGCATCTCAAAACACTCCCTCATGCTACTTCCTCATAGCCGCACCCTCCCTCTGCCCCAGGCTTTGGCAACCACTGATCTGTTCTTCATCAATATAGTTTTGTCCTATCTTAAATGCCACATAAATTGAATCATACAATACCTTTTAGGACTGACTTTTTTCATGACGTCTTGAAAATTCATCTAAATTGTTACAGATTTCAATTGTTCTTTCTGTTTTATTGCTGAGCAGTATCCAAGTGTATGGATGTGTCATGTTTTGTTTATCATTCACCCACGGAAAGGCATTTGGATTGTTTCAAGTTTTGGGGCAATTAGAACTGTCATAAACATTCCTTTACAATTACAAGCATTTAAAAATATTTTCCTGTGGTAAAATATACATAACAAAACTTACCACTTTAACCATTTTTAGACGTACAATTCAGTGCTATCAAGTACATCCACGACATTGTGTAACCATCACCACCGTCTAGTTTTAGAATTTTCATCATCCCAAGCAGCAATTCTGGACCCTCTATTTTTCCATCCCCCAAATAACTCTCTATTTTTTCATCCCCCAAATTCCTGGGAACCTTTGTTCTACTTTCTTTCTCTTTGAATTTACCTGTTCTAGGTACCTAATATAAGTGAAATCAGACTTTTTTCCTTTTGTGTCTGTCTTCTTTCATTTAGCATAGTATTTTCAAGATTTATCCATATTATAGCATATATCAGAATTCCTAAGGCTGAACAATATCTAATTGTATAGATATACCACATTTTGCATATTTATTCACCTGTTGATGAGCATGTGGGTTGTTTCTACCATTTGTATGTTATGAATAATGCTGCTATGAACATCGGTGTATAAGTGTATGTTTGTATTTCCTGCTTTCGTTCTTTTTTTTGTGCGTCTGGGTCTCACTTTGTCACCCAGGCTGGAGTGGAGTGGCACGATCATGGCTCACTGCTGCCTTGACTTCCTGGGTTCAGGTGATCCGCCTCAGCCTCCCACAGCACCTGGCTAATTTTTTGATTTATTGTAGAGACGAGGTCTTTTGAGACTGCCCAGGCTGGTCTCAAGTTCCTGGGTTCAAGCAATCCTCTTGCCTCGGCCCCCCAAATTGCTAGGATAACAGATGTGAGCCACTGCACTGGCCTCGGTGTGATCTTAATATATGTCCCTAATGGCAAGTGACATTGAACTTTTTTTTTTTTTCTTACTTGCCATCCATATATCTTCTTTGGGAGTATTCGTTTAATCTTTTTGCCTATTTTTAAATCGAGTTGCTTGTTTTCTTACATTGAATTTTGAGAGTTCTTTATATGTTCTGTATACAAGTTCTCCAGTGGATATATGATTTGCAAATATTTTCTCTGGAGCTTGTCTTTTCATTATCTTATGTCTTTTGTAGAGCAAACATTTTAAAATTTAGTTAAGTCCGATTTATTTATTTTGCTTCTTGCATAGATTGTTATCATGTCTAAGAAGTCTTTGTCTAACCCTAGTTCATTATGATATTCTCCTATATTTTCTTCTAAAAGTATTATGAAGACCTAATTTTAAATTTAGGTCAGCGATCCATTTTTAATTTTTTAAAACGTCGATAGCTTTGGGGGGTACAAATAGTTTTTGGTGGGCATACTTACAGCCCAAACCAAAAACTATTTGGACTCCTCAAAGCTATTGAGCTGTGCTGCGCTGAACATGCGGGTACAGGCACCTTCTTTATATAACAACCTCTGTTCCTTTGGGTAGATTCCTCGGAGTGGGGTTACTGGATCAAATGGTAGATCTACTTTTAGTTCTTTGAGTAACAGCCATACCACTTTACATAGAGGTTGTACTAATTCACACTCCCACTAATAGTGTGTAAGCTTCCCTTTTCTCTGCATCTGCACCAGCAGCTATTTTTTTTTAAGTAATGATCATTCTGACTGGTGTTAGGTGGTATCTCATTGTGGTTTGATGATGATGAGCAATGCTGACCATTTTTTTCATGTTTGTTGGCCATTTGTATATCTTCTTTTGAGAGATGTCTATTCATGTCATTTGCCCACTTTCTAATGAAGTTATTTACCTTTTCCTTGCTGATTTGCTTGACTTTGTAGATTATGGATATTAGTCCTTTTTCCGACTATATAGTTTGGGAATATCTCCTCCCATTCTGTAGGTTGCCTGTTTGCTGGGTTGATTATTTCTTTTGCTGAGCAGAAGCCTTTTAGTTTAATTAAGTCCCACTTGTTTGTTTTTAGTTTTCTTGCATTTGCTTTTGATGTTTTAGCCATAAATTCTTTGCCTAGGTAGATGTCCATAAGAGTTTTTCCCTGGGTCTTCTTCTAGAATTTTTATAGTTTTGGGTCTGACATTTGAGTCTTTAATCCATTTTGAGTTAATTTTTTTATACGGGGAGAGATAGGGATCCAGTTTTATTTTTCTGCATGTAGCTGTCCAATTTCCCCAGCACCATTTGTTGAATAGGCTATTCTTTCCCAAGTGTATGTTTTTGCCTGCTTTGTCAAAGGTCCGTAGATTGTAGGTGTTTGGGTTTATTTCTGGATTCTCTACTCTGTTCCACTGGTCCACACATCTGCTCTTGTCCCAGTACCATGCTCTGTACCAGCCCTGTAGTTTAATTTGAAGTCAGATAATGTGATGCCTGCAACTTTGTTCTTTTTGCTTAAGATAGCTTTGGCTATTCTGGCTCTATTTTGTTTCCATATGAATTTTAAGATTTTTTTTCTAATTCTGTGAAAAATGACTTTGGTGGTTTGATGGGGATTGTGTTGAACCTGTAGATTACTTTGGGTAATATGGTATTTTAACCATTTTGATTCTTCCATTCCATGAGCATGGGCTGTTTCTCCATTTGTTTATGTCCTCTAAAATTTTTTTATCAGAGTTTTGTAGTTCTCCTTGTAGAGATTTTTTACCT